ATATCAAAATTTTCAAGAATGACTGGAAGTTTTATATATATGAAGTATAATGAACGATGATTTTAATGTAGTTTCTATAATGAAATATATTAATCTGTGCTGTGTCATTATCCATGTAATGTGACCAAATGATGAAGACTCATTAAGAGCATTTCTCCCTGTGAGTCAAAACAGACACAGAAAACTAAAAAGTGAAAATGCACCAGTAGGGCACAGATTGTTTCAAATTCAAACATTATGCATGCTGCATAGGTTTTACCTCTGTGAGCTGCTATGGAAATATTTAAAGAGTACAGAGTAATTAGAACTTTCAGCTCAGAGAAATATTCAGTACATATTCAGTACATATTAGACTTCAAATATGAGAAGTATATGCTAAGTATTCTTGCAATTACAAGACTAAATAGACACCTTTTGGGTTCAAGATGCATTCTCTAGTAATGGTACCAGTAACATGTCCAGAACTCCATCACCACAGTACTTCTGTGTATCAGGGAAAACAAGATATTTTCCAACTTGACCATAAAGCTGTCTGTAAAATAGTGTGATATGCTGGATACACTCTCTTGTTAAAAATGACTGTAAAGTAGCCTTTAAGAAAAATGTGTCAACTTAAACAATGGAAAACTTTCAGACAGTTCTTATCACTATTACCAATCTCTAAATTAAATTTATTGATATTCTCTGTGTTCACATTATTTTCTGGAATCTGAACAGGTTTCAGAGCACTTGAAGCACTGGTACAGCAGAGATGCTTTTAGTGACCCATGTAATGCAACCACATGATGAAGGTGCATAAATAGGTGTTTCTTCTTGTGAATCAAAATAGGTGTACAAAATAACAGTATTTCGGAAGTTAAATTAAGGAAATTTTACTAAGCAAAAAGAATTACTCGGTTTCATCAGTTTTACTTTTTTTCCCCAGCAGTTTCCTTTCTGTCATCTTTCATGAGAAACACTGTTTTTTCATCCTTATGAATTTTCCTTTCTAACTACTGCTCTTAGCACTTCTTCTCAAAGGCTGTTCTTGTATGTAGTGTAATCCTCAAGGCACTGTGTTGAATCCATCCAGCACTGACCCTGTTGGAAGGTGGGAAATGGTTTCAAGTACAGCATAACACCTCATGTGCTCCACTGAATCCTTTGCAGAGGTCCAGACCTATTGAGTGAATTTGGTATGTATATACTTTGATTCAAAACATAAGGGGCCTCAAAGCTGTTCAAACTACACGTCAAACCCCTTACCAAAATTATCAGGTGCACTCACATGGTTTCTCTCCTGAGTCCTAAATTCTGTGTCTTAGTTTCTGAAGCCTCCACTCTGGAGTGGTTATAGCTGACTCAGTGGGACTTAGAGCAGTCAGCTACAGGAACAACTCCAGAATTCATGTGTAGACTATAACAAGTGAATACATGAGAAAAATAGGTTTCTGTACCTCCATCCTGTGATACAAACAAACCACATCTTACTGTTAATTTACTAGAACCAGATAATCTTGAAGGGAACAAGTATGGCACATAACAAACAAAATCAGAGATACTTAGGGGAAGATCTTCTGCCAGTTGCAGCATTCACAATGGAAAGCTGTCTTCTGATGTTAAATGGATGCAATTTTTTCCCTTAAAAATACAAATACACTCTAGGAAATTCAGAACATGTTGAAGACTATTGTAGCTAAGGCAACAATCAAGCATGATGAGTTTAAATATTAATTTGCAATGGGTATTGTGTACTTTTGCTTCCTTATACAAAAGAGCAGCAAATTGCACTCCAGGAAATCATCTGCAAGAAAACACTCAATGTTGGTTTATCTGTTTTCTTAGGCAGATTAACCAACTAACTAAGACAGATAAATAACTATCTCATCCATATTTCTCTCAGGATGGTTGAAGTAATTTTTTAAATTGCAGGGATTTATCTTTTTCAATGTTGCAAGCAATACTGGTAGTTTAATTTACAGTTTTGTCCACATATTTTAGCAGAATTATATGACAATTCCTTGACCTCTGAAGGTAATGCTTCAAAAATTACAGAGTGGTAGGGCTTCCTCCATAACCTTAATATTCTTTATTGTGGAGGCTCTTAAAAATTCTGAGGAATTTTCTCCCTGCCTGGAGCAGACTGACAGCACACACCCACCTTTTTATTCCTTAAAAGACTGAAGCCTTGGTGTTTGTTGTTCAGGAGTTGTGCAGAGGTGTGTAGAGCACTGGGGGCTCACTCTCTGGCTGGCTTCGCGTGTGTGTGTGGCCACCTGTACCTGTATGATCCTACTGTGTTCAGTGCCGTTCTCCTTGGGAAGCAACACTACAGTTGTGGCCTCACATGGAAAACTGTCAGCAAAATGACTTGTTTCTCTTCCTCTTTTTTCTAAGACCTTGGGTGTTCATTATAAAACAACATAGTTGGTATTGTTTTCTAAACTCAGAAGGCACGTTCAACTCATTGACTGTTAGCTGAGGTAAATATGATCCATTAGGGAAAATTGCTGTAATGGGACATAACACAGGAATTTACTATTCTGCCGTGCATTTGCAGGCCCAGACAGGAATTCCTTAAAGCCTGGAAAATAGCAGCACTTCAATAGTCAGACTTTCCTGAAAAAGACATTTGTATCTACAGAAGTTTTATTATGAAAAGCTTTTCAGGACTAGTTTTCTATTAGAAATTTTGAAAATTTCTAATTCACAACAAGGCCAAAATCAAGCTAACATCTTCTCCCACAGTTAAGTTTAAGACTGCTGCGTTAAGGCTAAGTCCTTCAGCGTCTAGCATTTAATGTCATTTCATGCCCAGTGAATACTTATTTTCAAAAACCAGTAAAACAGGTTTAATGGGAAAGGATAGCAATCACAGAAAAAGGGGTGAATCACATACTTCTGAAAAAGCAGAATTCAAGCTCCTGTTTTAAATCAGGCAATAAAAGGTTTTCTAAAGTGCAGGCACATGCCCTTAACACAAGTGTAAAAACCACTATGTGGGGAGGTTGGGAGGTTTTCTCTTCTCAAATGACAACTCAAAGCCTAACTTTTACCCTATTACAGACCAAAAGCTCCAAAGGTTAGATCTCAGAAAGCTTTGTTGCAAAAAAAATATTTTTATTTGCTTAGTGTTCTTTATTTTGAGCAACTGAATCACAGCAGCAAATTAAGCAACTATGGAAAGCTTCTGTTCACCAGGACAAAATAATGAACAGGAAGAATCCGTGCTGTGAGGTTGGTGTCTTCCTGACATGACTTAGATTCTTGAAGTGACAGTTAAGAAAAAAGATAGAGTTCTGTTTAACTGCCCTTCCAAAGCAGGTAGATTTTGTTATTTATGTTCCAAGAAACCCATCAACAATGAATAACTGTTGAGCTGATAAGGAGTTTGCTCAGGATTCACTCTCAAACAACTTCTCTGTCCACCAGAACTGTTCTGTGTAGACTTCTGGCCAAAAAGAAGGGGGATAAATGAATTAAAGCCAAACAGAATATCAAGATCAACATGCCAGCTCTGTGGGGGAAGGCTGAAGTTCAGGGACACTATGGACAGCTTCTCATGAATGTTGTTTCTAAATCTTTCACTCTTGACCTACCCCTATGACTGTGAGATAAAGAGGACCATGTCTGATCCTTCATTTCTACTTAGTTGTGTGTGAGTTTTGCAGCATAATTGGAAAACCATCGTGTGCCACGATGCTGGGGAGCTCCAGCCTTAGCTCATGTTCCCATGACTGTCAGGGTGGTGGCTGCTCTTACCCGTGGTTAGTGACAACACCCTCCTTCTAACAAAATTCTGGTACTATTCTTACAGCCATGCTCACAGTGTTAATTTAAAATGCACAGGATAAATATTTCTTATGCTCAGATTTTAAAAAGAGGATGAAAAAAATGCTTTGTGTCCATAATGCAATGAGAACCAAAAAAAAAAAAATCTGAATAAACAATGAGCAGAACAACAAATAAAAATTCCTCCATTAATTACTTAAAGTAAATTTTAAAATGTATTTTAAATAAATTGTTATTTTCCGTATTTCCAGACTTTGTTGGGACTTCTCAAAGTTTTAACTACCAAAGCTCTTACTCTTATATAATCAAAACATTTATTGGCATAGACATTTATTTTTCAGACAGCTGAAAATGCTGTCTTTCTGTATTTAGTTTGTATATGGGCATATTTGTTTTAAAGATAGACACAAACTTGTATCATTTGAGGATCTTGGCCTGATCTTGGATTTTTCAGAACATTTCCTTAACTGTAGGGTAACAGAGGAAAACCTGAATAGTTTCTGACAAAAAAAGCACATTTTTTTGTTACTGATACACTCCTAATCTTTGAGTGGAATCAGTAGTGACACAACAGATAGCTGCATGCAAACACTGTTTTCAGTGAGGCTTTTTCTCAAGAGAAATGAGCTCTGACTTCTTCATGCTGCCATAGTCCCTCTGAATCTCTTGTGCCTCAGGAAGACCAGCCTTATGTGTATTCAGAACGGCTGAAACACAAGCCATGCTGTATTCTAGACACAGAAGGTACAAGGAAAAATATGTTACCAGCTAAATTACATGAATGTACCTGATGTACCACACATGCACATCCACTGTCAGCAACTTTAGAGCTCTGAATCACAACACTGGGCATCCCCCTCTTCTCACTAACTACGCTTAAAATTGAAGAATCTAAGTTTGATCTGTTTCATTAAATCAGGACTTAAATGTCTGTTCAGAAAATACTCCCTGACACAAGTTATAGCTGCATCTGAGTAGTTTTGAGAAACAGATGAACCCAATACAATAAACGTTCGTCCTGAACTTTATCGCTGAGGGATAGAGAATGTAATTTTAGTTTCTGTCCTGTATGGAAGAAATAGAAGCCTAAATTACAGCTTTAAGGGGTTTTCTGATGCACAGGTATCATGTTATTTCTGAACAGAAGAAGAGATTCCATTTGAAATTAACCTGATTCTAAATGCATCAAAAAGCTAATAGCGAAGGAAGCAAGAACAGAGTGGACTTACTCTTTTTTTGATGGCTCTTCTGGAACTTTCCCAAGTTCACAGTGGGGGGTCTGCTGGGCTTCTGTGGGGGCTGGCCTAGCTTGAACAGTGGGGGCAAGACTTTTCTCTTGGGCATTCTAGAACTCCTGTCCTCGTCCACTTTCTCTTGTGGTTCACCTGATGGTCTTCCTGCAGCAAATGCCGTATTCATCTTACAGAATTTATGAGAAGAAGCTGATTCTTCTGGGATGATTTTGTTTAAGAAGATGTTCTCAGTAGTGCTCATTCCCTTTTCTTCAGTGTTTTCCGCCACAGTTTTGGGGGTTCCTTTTGATAAGCTGGACCAGTGGACAGGAGGCTTCAGAGCTATTTTAGGAAAATGACTGCCTTCAGCTTCTGCACCAGAGTTACTATTTTCACGCATTGCCTTTGCTTCTTGGAGTGCATGTGTATTTGTTCTAGGTCCTGACTGTCTTTGCAGAAAACTGCTTTTATTAGAAGTGTCTTCATTTTGAGATACCTCATTGTTTAGAGAAGGTTTCTGTGCAAGAGATGGTTTAGAAACAGGAGGCTTGGGCTCATTTGCTTGTGTTGCAGACCTAAATTTTTCCTTAACTGCAGCAACTTTTGAAAATTCTGTTTTTGCCTCATTCTCCTGTAATGCAAAATTAAGATTCGATTTTGGTCCCAGAGGACTTTTTTCTTTATCAGGAAGAGCAAGAAACTTGTTCCACGCAGGTTTTGGGTTCAAAGGCTTTGGGTCCTCCTTTGACTGGTCATTGGTTTTCACAGAGAATTTAGTGTATCCAGATTTTTCATCATTTCCTCTGTTAGTGGGCTGAAGCTGTACACCAAATCTTTGTGCCACTGGGTTCAAAGGTGATGGGCTTGGATCTTTCTCTGTTTTATCATCACTTGAAGGCTTGACTGCCAGAGGAGGCTTAGGTTGAACAGGTTTGTGAAGGTTACTGAGTCCTGGAGAACATGCAGCATATCCTTTATTTGTAAATTTCTCAAGTGCTGCTTTCCTTGTCTGTAATCCTGTGGGAACATCTTGTCTTGGGATTTTGATGGGTTGGCTGTTTGAAGTATCCTCTCTGTCTCGGTTATGTCCTTCAAATTTCTCCATGAGGAACTTCACACGTGGCTTGCAACTCTATAAATGTAAAGAAGAGAAAGATAAAGGGCAGCAAAGGGAAAGTATTGTTGCAATGTTCACAAATATTGTAAAGGGTTTCCTGGTCTGAGGCTTTAGTACTGCTGATTGGCTGAGGAGGTGTTACAACTCATCTTCCTGTATGGTTAAGAGAAGCTGAGCATTTTGTTGTATCCCTGCAGCATTTACACAGTATTTTAAGATTTTCATTCAGGTGCTGCCTTTTAGGTACTGCAGGTCCTTTTGTGCATATTATAATTTCTGTTTACTTCTGGAATTGTGAACTGAACACATAATAAATGTACAAAATTACATACAACTTTAAAATCAACATATCTAAAACTCTGATTGTCCTGTGATGAGAAGCACAGGTTGTACTGGAACCCAGGGGAATGTACCAGATTCATGTTATTCCTGTTAACACTTTGAAGAACTGCAAGTTCCTTTGTGAAAAAAATTTCTTCTGGTTGGTGTATGTGTATGCCAATTTTTCTTTCTCAGCAATTTTTCTGCTTTCTGCTCCCTCACCCTCACTTTGTCCTTGCTTCTCTTCTCCATTTTGTATCTGAATAAGACTGCATGTGTGGGTACCAAATGAAAATATGTGAAGTAAAATTGAAAGAAATGACAGTCCATACCCCCAAGATATTGTCAAAGTTACTAAATTTCTTGCAAAAAAAAGTTGAGTAATTCCAAGATCATAAAACCCAGCTTCATTAAAAAATAGATGTTTTAATTAGTCAGCCCAATTCAATAACTTTCAGGACCTGTCTTAATTATGAACTGAACCCACGAGTTCAATACATTTAAATTCAGGAAAAATAAAACACATCACAGTGCAGGATGGGAGAAAAAGTGAGGCAGTCCCACTGCACTGGACAAGGGACCACCTTTGGGTTCCAGGAGCCTCTGGAGCAAGAAGTCCTCTCCGCAGCTGACAGTGGCAGCAGTGGTGCAGCTATAGTAGATACATTGATACATATGATTCTCAAGTAGGACCTGGATTTCCTGTGTGAGTTAAAATGTAAAACTTACAGCATAAAGTAGGAATGTTATAACTAGATAGGGTTCTGAATCATCTGTTTGCAAACAAAGGAGTATTGCTACAAAATATAATAAATAGGTGCTTGAAATAAAGTTAGAGGTTTAAGAATGAACTGTGTCTTAACTTCCTATGGTTCAGCAAGTGCTCAGTGATTTTCTTTTTTACTTCAATAACAAGAGCTTCTTAATTGGCCTTTGCTCCTTTTGCCTTCTGTTTGATTGTATCTCATTACATAAATAACCTCTTATGTTGGAGTAGTTACACACACACACACACACACACACATATGTAGGGAGAGAGAGACACTTCTGCAACTTAGAGGTAACTATCCCAGTCTTTCAGCATTGCCAAGAAACTCAGCCTTTCCAAACTGATTGTGTTGAATTACAAATGACTAACATTAAATGCAGCAAAAACGAGATAGACAGAATGAAACTTATACCCAGCGACCACATTGTTGGGTATTTTTGCACATATAGAGAACGGAGGAAGTACACATTTACTATGGAGATTATCAGGGTGAAGCCATCTACTGCTGTTTGATGCATACACACACAACTGAAGCATATAGTATAATATGTATAATATATACGTACTATATATAATATATATAGTATACATATATATAATATATAGTAACACTATACTTATATTAGTGATACAAGTATATGCATCACTAATCATTCACAATTTGTCCCACAATATCTCACAAGGCACTGATTTTACCCACTTAGACAATTAAGCCAATTGCATTGCCAGAGAGAATAAAAAAACCCTTTGTCTCTGATCTCTTTTGACTTTGTACTAACTCATGATTTTTTTCTAAGCTCTGTAACAAAATCTACACCACCAGAGATATGGAAATTATAGCTTATGTCTGAAGTCTTCAGAGCTTCAAAGTCTCAGCAACTCATTTCTTTTGAAAGTCATAGCAAAAAATTTATTTCTTTGCTACTTCTTCTATTTGAAATATAAGAAAATTGAAATATAAGTATAAGAAAATGTACTGTGCAAATTGCAATACCTTTTACAAGCAAGAGCCATTCAGCATGTAGACCTTTAGGAAGATGGGAATGCGAGTTTGAAGAAAATTTTATTATTATGATATATGGTTTTTGAGAAGTTTTCTACACTTTCAATAGCAAGATTACATGAATTACATTCATACATGCTTTGAAATGCACTGAACCATTTATTACTTCCAAGTTAGGGAGTGTCAATGAATTTTTAAAAATAAATTTCTTCCCAACTCATGCATATTTACAAGCACAGCAAGAGGAAAAGGCTTCTGCACATGTGGAAGAGTTTACAATTAACAGTAAAGCCTCTTTCATTTACTTGGTAAAGGTAATATTAAGAATCAAAATAGAGTAAGAAACTCCATGAAATCTTTCTGCTTCTCTTTAATATACATCACCAGTTTCTGCCTTCATAAGCTGTGTTACATTAGAAGCCATACAGATTCTAATGCAGAGCCTGACTGGTCAGGTAGACAGAAGGGAACTGGAAAATTTTTTTGTTTCTGACCCTGCTCATAAAGTGATTGCCACAGTTTTTGTGCTTCCCTTCCCAGAAGCGACAGCAGTTACCTACTCCATTATCACATACAGTAGGTTGTAAATCATGAAATGGGAACTTGAAAAGATTCTGAAGAGAGATTAAGTTCCCCCTACCCTTCCCCTCTAAAGTGCAAAGTGTCTGTGCAAAAGAGGAGTCTCAGGCAAAAGCTATTTGGGTTACTTTCTGAACTTTCTCTTTGATCTCTATTGGAAACTCAGTGCAAAATATTTTGGCTTTTCAACTTTTGATCTGAACTGTAAGCAGCACATAAGGAGCACAGTAAGATTTCCTTTGATACAAGATGGTTGCATTATTCAGATGTGTTTTCTCAAATCTAGATCAATACCTAGGTTTTAGCTCCCATGCTATAGATAAATATTTATACACAGAACTTTCACAGTCTCCCACTACCTTCAGCAGAGACTCACTCAGGTACCAAGCTACACTTGTACACAATTGTTTGAAAATTACTCCTTAGTTACACCCCAGTGTTAACAAGTGTAATTCTCCATAATTTACAATATGGCCGCACATTTCTGTACAGAAGTACTGTAATGAGACATAAAGCACATAAAAATTGCAGTTATATTCTTCCTCAGTTTATGGATATTTCAGTCTCAACTGGCAGCCTGAACAAAAAAGTTTTTTTTTTTTGCCTTGGCATAAATATAACTTTATTATTTACTTTCCTGTCTTGGAGAAGCCAAAAGATTATTTCACTTCAACTTCCCCTTGAGGCCACTCTTTCTTCAAACAGAAACACTGAATCAGTGGATGGAATAGCAGATGTGTGTGCACACAATCATTAGTTAGGAAAATGAAAAATATATAACTTTTGACTGTACAAAGAATTCATTCGAAATACATGCAGATTTTATTTACAAAGGATAAACCCCCCATCTTTTCTCTTCTGAACTGTAACTTTTACATTTCGATTCCCAAGTGATGGGATCTAAATATACCCTTTAAAAACTCAAAAGCAGACCTTGATGAGTTTGCTAGAGAGTAATAAAATAAAGATTATAAAGCTATCCCTTTAAGAAGAAAACTATGTTTACTCATGAATTCTCTGATAGTGAAATAACAAAAGAAGTTGATAACCACTAAGGGAATTGAGCTGTAACCTATGGCCAAGATATAAGAAATAAGAAAATGGACAAAATGACAAGGAAAATTACACAGAGAATTATAGAAAAATACTGAAAATCTGAAAATTATTTTTCAGATTTATATAAATCTGATATAATTTCTACTGAAGGTAGTAGATTTGAGGCAGTCTAGCTTTTTGTTTACATGACAGTGCCATTCTGAATTTGTGATAAACTATTGCTTTCTTTTCCAGACACCTCAGAATCATCACTATTGAACTTTGTTGTTTCCAGAAGAGATTTCCAAATTGCTTTTCTTCCCCTTGAGTCTAGCTGTAATTACAAGACTCCCTCTATAACTGCAGCATTTGGAAAGGGAAGTTGAGATGTTGCAATGCTCTGCACCTATGAATATGTGTAGTATAAGCATGAGAAGGAGACAAAGAGACACGGTTTGCTCATACAAGACTTGCTAATACAGTGGTTGGTATAAAAGAGAAATGAGCCCTCAAATACTAAAGAATGAGGAGACAGGCTATTCTTCTGTTTGGGGTTTTTATGAAAGGCAGATTTCTAGGATGGAGAGGATAGAAAGAAATCTAAGGGATTCCCCAGTGAGAGGCTGACAGCCCCTATGTTACCCTGAGAGCATCATTTTAAACATCCCTCTAACACCAGCAAGAAAAAACCAGCACACACATGAGGAACTACGGTTGTTAAAATTTGACAAGGCAGTGTTCCAGCCTGATCACAGTGTACTCTGTATCTTTTTCATTGTACATTCCTCTGCACCTCCCTTATCTCTCTCTTGCCATTTTTTCTCACCTTCTATCTAATCATAGGACCAGCTACTCATAGTGCAGAAAAATAAAAGGACAGTTCTGAAAGAGTTTGAGACCAGGACAAGTGAGGGCATAGGGCTTGGCCAGAACAGCCAGATTACATCCCATCTTGTTCCCAAAGTGCTTATGTCAAAGACTGTGCATGAAGTCAAACTATCAATGGAGGCATGATCATCTCTTCATCCAATGCCCTAATAGGCTCACAACAATGTTTCTCCTTAATGGATTTTTTTGGTACCTGTTTAAGTGAAAATAAGCACTATCAGTCACTGGCCACTCACTCAACAACAGAAACCTGATGGCTTCAATTTTTCCATCAAGAATTTGTTTCTGTAAACACACTAGCTCATATCCATTTCTGAAAAATTATTGCAACATGATTTTATATAAACACAAAATTTCATGATACTTAATAACTTAATTTTTAAAAATTATTTTTCTCATGCGCCTCCTAATACCCTTTATCAATTATTTCTTTCAGATTAGTGTAAATTTTCTCATTATCTGCCCAGAAACAGATTTATTTTTGCTTTGAACCTATTTATATATAGTGTATACAGTCACTGTCTTATGAATGTCTTACTTGTCTGGTTATCCCACTAAAGTGAATGCTCCAAGTCTCAAGGAAGAAATATTTGAATTCCTGTCACTGCAAAGTTCCTATCATTATTTTGAGAATTTCAGGATGTCATATGTTTTTAATGGAAATTTTGTGCAATTTTAAGACTTCAAGGAGCACTTTGACTCATACCTGGAAAGGAAAATACGACCAACTACTAACAAAATACATACACTGACACCTCAACCCAGACTGGTATATTTGTACCCTAATTTGTAATTTGTACCCTCCCAATAATTTAACACACAACAAATAATGCAAAGGGGATAACTAAAAAATAATTGCCTTTGAGTGATACCATTTCTGCTATTACTCAAAATGCAAAGGCCACTTAAATTAGGACCACTTTTAATAAAATTTCAGAGAACTAACCACAAAACTCTGAGAGAGAAAAGTCCATTTTGATAGCTTAGCATCTTTTCAGCTCCTAAACTAAGTAAAATCTACAACTAGGTTTCCAGTTAATTAAGTTATATTCAATATATTGTTCTGATTCTATTTCTTCTGGAACTTTCCACGCTTATTTTTAAGACAAATGTAGAACAGTTTACCTGGATATCCCAAAGCTCTCCAGTATTTTCATACAAGCAGAAAAACTGGCTCCCTCAATGTGACAATCCACGGGTGTAACAACTTAACAGCATGGTCTATTTGCTAAAGAGGAGTTCTGCTTCTCACAGAGGAGTTCTTGCCTCTCACAAGATACACTTGTGGGTTTCATTATCATGAACAGTAACTGCTCTCCACAGGATATTAGGCAAGAAGTGCTGGAGGAAAAGGGAACTAAAGTGTGTTCAGACTGGCTGGCTGCTTCCATCAGCAGTAAGCACCATGTGATATCCAGAAGTATTGCATTTACCCCATGTTGCGTAGCCCTGTGAGGCTGCCTTGGCACACACAAGCCTGAGCCTTTACAGAATAGCTGCTAATGAAATGTGTGTGGAAATTACAGGCATAAAGGGTGGACTGGCCACAGGTCCAGTGCCTGCTACCAATGAGAACCCTGCATACATGGCGCACTCTCAGGCATCAGCTAGCATGTTCCTCATGTTTGCCTGTGGGATCTTGAGATTCTGTGGGCTAGTTTTTAAAAACTTCTGTTATGTGGAGATATTTTAAAAAAAACCAACAAAACTATGATCATACATTTCTTCTGTCCTTCCTCCTGTGTGTTTGAGTTTGAAGGATGATATAGGATAGAAAAGTCAATAATGAGTAAATAAGCTTCATAAAAAAAATCTAAATTTGTGTTTGTGCTGAAGATAAAACCGGAAGGGCGGAGCCCTCTACAAAACACAGCTCAGTCAGTTTGCTAGAGCAGTGCATGGGGAGGAGATTGCAGAAGAAAAGCTGTGTAACTTTGAGCTTAATTAAAAGACAACTGAATCTTGCTTATGGTCTACTACTCTCCTTCTGCACAAAGTTCTTAGGATTTTTTGAAATATTTTGGGATGTTAAAGCATTGAAAGTGCTTGGCATTTCTAGCTTAATTTTATAAAAACTTGTAGCTTAGCTACTTCAGAAGTTTGTTAGGGTGCTGGATAGATCTTATTTGAGTTAGAAACACTGCCCACCAATGATAACTGATTATTTTGTAATATAGGCATAATGTTTTTTTGTAGTGGGAGAAATACAGTTCTTTATGCTATTCATTCAGCTAAACACTGTATTTTATTTATAAAATAGCATTTATTTGTGAAAATAAACAAATCACAGATAATAATGCATTTATTATTAATACTGTGGCAGATTAGAATTGCTGTTGTATGTGGCAGTCTTCATGACTGAAGATGCTAACTGTAGCAATACAGTCATTTTGTGTGGGTAAACACCACTACAAGGGTCTGCTCACAGTATCAGCTCTAGACAAATCATGCAATGATCAAAGAACTAGCTTATCTTCACAGCTCTGAATGCTAGACAGTTCCTGTTGTCTTCTCTTTTATCCAATACACACAAATAAGTACATCCCTAATTGATAGAATGCTGATGAGTATATAAATTGCAACAAACACAATGAAAATAAGTTTACCCTGTGAAATTTCAGTGAAACTTGCCCATCTGCAATATCCACCATGTGCCTCATTTTACATTTGCAGGTGCAATAGCTTCCTGAAATCTCTCTGTTGTTTCTCGCTTGTTTCTGGGAAGGTTGTTTGTGAGTGATATAGGGAAATTATCTATTTTTAGGTGAAGAGAGAATCTGAATAAATTAATATTTTAAGGAACAGGATCTGCAAGCCTGAAAGCAGTGTAAAGTTATGTTGCTTTTTTCACTTTTCACAGAAACAACACCAGCAGCAGCGACAAAATCACCAGTTCATATTCAAGCAAGATAAGGATAATACTTTCTCATGTATACATATACAATATATGCCATTATATTCTCTGTACAGACCAAACCCTGCATCTAAATTCCTGCACACAAGTAGTGTGTTACTGCTCCTGTGTGGATATGTTACAACTGCAACCTTAAGCACATTTTATCAGAATATTTATTTAGATGTTTCCATGTAACTTTGGGAAAAGTGGATACTTAGGAATTAAGTTTATCAAAAATTAAGGAAAGAAGAAAGGGAAGAAAAAGAATCAGAACTTTTGCCATTCAGGAAGAATGTGGCCAGCAGGCAGGCCAAGGGAGGTAATCCTCCCCCTCTACCTGGTTCTGGTGAGGCCACATCTGTAGTGCTGCACCCAGTTCTGGGCTACTCAGTATAAGAAAAAAATGGAGATACTGGAGAGGTATCAGAAAAGATCAGAAAGACAATTTAGGGTCTGGAGCATCACTTTCATGAAGAGAGACTGTGGGAGCTGGGTGTGTTCAGTCTGGAGAAGAAAAAACTAAGAGGGGATCTTATTAACACATAAAAATATCTCAGAGGTGGGTGCCCAGAGGATGGTGCCAGGCTCCTTGCAGTGGTATGCAGACAGATGACAAGGAGCAATGTCCACAAAGTAAAACACATGAAGTTCCACCTCAACATCAGTAAGAACTTCTTTCAATTGAGGGTGGCAGAGCACTGCCCAGGGCAGTCATGGAGTCTCCCTCTCTGGAGATGTGCAAAACCCACCTGGACATGCTCCTGTAACCTCATCAGGAGGGTTGGACTGGTAGCTCCAGAGTTCCCTTCCAGCCCCAATGATTCTGTGATTGTGTGAGTCTCTGCTGTAAATGCTAGTCTATCTTTTTAAGATATTTTTTCTTTCATCTACTTTCATCTACTTTCTTTCATCTACTGATGTTCTTTGCTCCAAAATGATTTGAAAAGTCAGACACTTCCATCTGAACAGCTCTTATTTTCCAGTTCAGTGGTCACAAAGTTAGTTAGGATTTTGTTACCTCAACAGCTGTGTCAATACTATTGTTCGAGTTGCTGTAAACTGAAGGGACATGATACAAAAAAAATTCTTTATCTTTTGACATTGTTTTTAACCTACTTCATTTCACTAACTGTAACTGTATTATATGATCCCAAATAAGGAGAGAGTGAAAAACAGTTAATCATGAGGGAGGGTGGGAGAAGAAAAACACAAAGATGACTGGTTGGGGCAGCTAATCTTTAAATCATGCATATATAGGGGAAGACAGGGCTGGGGGGTAGTATGTGGGAGAACAGCTTTGGACAGGTGCATTAATATCATTAAAGCAGTTTGAAATCTCTTTCCTAAGTCAGGATAGTGTTGCTCTGCTATATACAACACATTCAAATATGCACAGAGCAAGAGAAAGTCAATGTTAGCAGCATTTTTCACTGAAATTTTGCTTCCTGCCTTCTCCTTCTCTCACAGGAGAAACTTTTGCCTCCTAGTTATTACTGGACAGGTTATATTTCTGTAGAAAGTAGTCTATGCAGCAGTGAGGGAGATGTTGGAAAATTTTTTTAACTTTAGCACATTAGTGTATGATTCCTGTATTCATGGTTAATGCTTACTTTTGTACCATACAGTGCTTAGTACAAATACCAGAGATTAATGTGGCCTTGTGTTAACTCCCTACATCTGTGACTAATAAGTCTTGTGCCAACTAATGCTTCCTTGTTTACTTCTATCTATCAGTGATTAATATGTACTAGCTAATATCTTAGTTTTGAGAACAAGGATTGTGTGTCAGAGGTAAGAATGATAAGAGCAGTACATTATAACTTGACACTCTCAAGGAGAAAAGTTTCATCAGAAGATCTGCAACCGTATCCAAACAAGTAAATTGAAATGATTAGTATATTTACATGTATTCCGGAAATGTGATGAATGTGTATTTGTTTCAGGAATATAATGCAGTCTGTTAGGTTACTGAACATGTATGTTTTAAGGAGAAATCACCATGCACCCAGTGTTGTTAATAAAGTGATATTTTTCTTAACTAACAGCTTGGTTGGAGAGTTTATTTCCCAGTTTTCAATGACATGGGGGCAGACTTGGCAGAGGAGCAGAAATAATATATTTATCAATAATCTCTGTAAATAGTTGTAGGGAAAGTTTCAGACTACCTAGTTTCGTGCTGCTTCTGGGGTAACATTTTGAGTACACGAACCTCATCAGAGGGCAACGCAAAGAGTCAGCAGTCCTGCTTCACAATCCTGTGCCAGAGTGTCAGAGTTCTGGGGTGAAGGGCCATCTTTCCATGGCAGTAATCCTGCTACAGCATCACCTTGGAAATTACTTAATTTTCAGAACAAACTTAATATTCCTAAACACTAGCAGAAGTTGCTGTCTGCAATTTCTGCAGTGCACTGTGAGAACCAACATTTTTGGTAGTGTCAGTCTGTGTTATCTTTGTGTCTACAGACAGTGCTAGACTTCCTCAAAAACGTGCTGCGGCATTTCCACAACATTCTTATTTGAAGGCAGTTTTAGTATTTCTGACAGAAGTTTGGTTATGAGCAAATTAAAGCTTTTCCTTGTGTCAACATGTACTGTCATGCTTATGGGAACAATTTGGCTGTCCAGATCCTGTTTGGTGACTACTGACATGCAGCATTCCCTGGAAGCTCCTCAAGTCACTGCTGTGGCTCTTTTAAATTGCTGTTATTCAATACCCATAATCTTATAACCATTGTCTATTATTAATATATTTATACTTGCCTGAACAAGGAGTGCAGAACTACTTATATTTTTCTGTACTTGAGACAGGCAAGACAGACAAAGTCAAGAAAGAAGTCAAAGGACACTAGCAGTGCCCTTACCCTGGCTATGCCTTGTGAGGGGGCACATTTCTGCCTCTCAAAGGAGACCCCAGCACACTTCAGGGCATCACAATCAAGTGTGTGTTAAGATCCTGGTTTTCTACTGGGGTGTATGTACTGTAATTAATCACAGTCCTTGCTGAGGACAGCTGAAGCTGATGCAAACCACTTGCTGTACAAAAAAGAATATTTCATGCAAAAAGTCAAAAGTGTCTCCTTTTTGTGACTTGAGAAGCCCTCAAATCTCAAGCAATTTTTATTTCAACACAAAGCTCATATTCAGGCATTAGCTGTCATGTTCGACCAACAGCTTCACTGCCCTGCAGCCCCTTCCATGCCTGTCCTGCACTGACCCCCAGTGCCCCCGGCCACGTCACAGGCTTCTTCTCCCTGTCCCTTTTGCTGCCCGGCTCAGACACCCGAGGGGCTCAGATGAGGTGGCTTTTGAATGAGCCTTTTTCCCCTGCAAGCTGTGTGGGTTCTACTCACGTCGGCACTGCTGTGCTCTGTCTGCCCGAGTTCAGCAGCAGGAGCTCAGGGGG